TATGGAACTGCGAGTATAGAAATGTGATTTCATATGTCATATCAGCATACTATCGAGATAGTAGTAGTGCATGAGCAGCTATACTGATCGCCTACAATGATCTAATATTCAACATGACTTTTTATGTCTACCAGTAGTACCTGTTACCTGTTTTACTAGTATTGTATAGTACTGCCAGAGCGGCCCCCCCCCCCCCCCCCCCCGCCGCCTTCATTTTATATTTATTTATAACCAAGGAAAAGAAAATCGTATGGCAGAGTGCAACTGAAGTTAGTACGGTGGGAGAAATGTAATGTTAAAGGTCAGCATGTCCTTGTGTGGAGTTCCAAGGTAGACTGCGTGCGAATTGACTTCAAAGTGTGCAATGTGTGTACAAGGTATGTGTTGCATGACCTACAGACCACCTCTATAGCACGACCACGAACGGACGAGTTGGTGGGGCGCTCACGCGGTACTTTACGGTACCTACCCCCCCCCCCCCCCCGCCTTATTCACACCCTCACAACAACCCCCTCTGCTTCCCTCACATGCACACAACAAAACAAATTGCCATGATAGGAACAGTTGTGCACCAGTATGTAGGTAGCAAGTTCCAGTCCTAGATTTTGACACAGGCAAACACGACTGGGTGCGCAACCACTCACCCAAGATGGCAATGGTGGAGAGATGCTCATACCGTTGCTCTGATTTGCTAACTTCTGAGATGAAGCTGACATAGCGGTTGTGGAATGCTGATAGTCGAAGGGTACCAGTTGCCTTGACTGGCCATGACTGTATCAACGTTGACAGAACTGCAAAACAAACGTGTGTTGGGTTTGAACGGATATGTGGCTGTTCCCAAACATAGAAGAATGCAAGGCACCAAATACCAGAGAAGCCTTGGCAAGACATGAAGACACCTCAACCGACAACAGACCGTCGCCAGCAATACAGCTACTTGTATCTAGGTAAGTGAGTTCTTTCACAATTTAGATGTCGGCATCTGAAAACACCAAGCACTCAGAAGAAAAAGTTGATCAGCATTGACGACCATTCACTTTGTTTTATCAAAGCTGACAGTGAGGCTGGACGTGGTAGCAATGCTCACGAAACTTTGATCACACATATAGTCTCATCATTGCTAGATGCTTCCTACTGCATATCTGTCAGAATAATTATGTCTAACGGCGCAGTCACATCCAATACCATGGTATGATACCATGGTATGATACCATGGTATGATACCATGGTATGATACCATGGTATGATACCATGGTATGATACCATGGTATGATACCATGGTATGATACCATGGTATGATACCATGGTATGATACCATGGTATGATAGCATGGTATAATACCATGGTATGATACCATGGTATGATACCATGGTATGATACCATGGTATGATACCATGGTATGATACCATGCATGATTCACTGTCTGGACACTGTATCCAGACAGTGAATCATGCATTCACTTGGACCGCATCGCCATCTACTGCAGCGACCGCCTTGCAGCCCAGCTCGCACACCTTGAGCACAACGGTACGATCCCATATCTTGCCACGGCTTCTGACAGAATTGGTAGTGTTCTGCTCCACTGTTCACTAACAGGCAAAGTAGGCTAATTTAGGAATAGGTCATACCACCATCAGGTGCTGACACAATTCAGTATCAATTTTACTTGGGGTCACTGGCCTTGGAAAGGCACTGATGTACGTATGTGCTGCTCCTTGAGTGAACTTCTCCAGACCCAGTTTTCAGTTCCCCTTCGTTTTGACAGTAGAGATAGAAAAATTCTGCCGCTCGACGTGCATCCATACACTGCGCCCGAGGCTTGTGGCGCTTCTTACCCTTGCATGCAGAGGTCTTCAAAATGCAAAGGCCACAGCCCAGAAGTCGGAAAAAAAACAAGAAACCAAGCTGCTCTTCAACAGGAATTCATGATTAGCGTGGCTAGTTCAAAGCCTTGAATGACAATGTTCTCACGATACAGTCAAGACATGCAGCTCGTAGATCGGTTAAGGCCTAGTCGCCCTGCAACAACCTTTCTCCCTGAACCCTTCATAATCGACTTCGACCAAAAAGCTCCTTGACTGACAAAAATTGAAGTCGAAACTGCTCTGTCATCAGTCTGTGCCTGTGGACTGGTCAGGTTATCTGGTTATGTTGTCGACATGTCTGTCAAAGTTGATTATAGCAATAAAAACTGCTTTATGGCAGTTTTCTAAAAAACGTTATTGTGTTCTAGTCCATGGACCCCGTCTAAAAAGTAAGAAATTAACGAAATGTGAAATCCAAAAATTATAATTTCATACAAAACCTCACAATAATCACACACAGGATGAAAAGCGAGAAGACCTTTTCCCCTCGTGGTCCTCTTTCCTCTTCATGCATGTTGGCGCAGTAATCGTAAGAGTCACCCGTGAAGTGTCAGACCAAGATGGACTCTTATTATTATTATTATTATTATTATTATTATTTGATGACGACTACACCATAGCTCAGTGGTTAGAGCATCGCTGGCTACAAGCGAGGGTCCCTGGTTCGAGTCCTGGTGGTGACAGTCAATTTTTTCTTCAGACTTTTCCCGTTTGTCTCTTTCCCTCAAACCCGTTAATATTTTATGACTGGGGGCTCCCCGCGTGCTAGTTTGTACGTGAAGTGTGTGGGTACAGTGAGGGCTGCGTCCCACCCGCCTGTGTGGATTCACAGGAAGTGTGAGTTACGAAGTCTGAAAAAATGTTGAACGGCCTCTGCTGGGATGACGACTACACCATAGCTCAGTGGTTAGAGCATCGCTGGCTACAAGCGAGGGTCCCTGGTTCGAGTCCTGGTGGTGACAGTCAATTTTTTCTTCAGACTTTTCCCGTTTGTCTCTTTCCCTCAAACCCGTTAATATTATTATTATTATTATTATTACGAAGTAGTGGTTGCAACTTCGGCGATGACTTGTAAGAAAGGGTTTGCTCCCCACACCGGAGCTCGCGCTATTCCGCCGACTTTACTTGATACTTGACTGACTCCCGACTGCCATCCAGAGCACACGAGAAGTGCATCGAACCTTCGAGTGGTGCTTTCTTGCAGGTTTCCCGAGTCGAAGGTTCGATGCATTTCTCGTGTGCTCTGGATGGCAGTCGGGAGTCCGTCAAGTGTCAAGTAAAGTCGGCGGAATAGCGCGAGCTCCGATGTGGGGAGCGAACCCTTTCTTACAAGTCATCGCCGAAGTCGCAACCACTACTTCGTACTGTTGTGCCCAGCGCCTAGTTGGTTTGGAGGTGACAGCGTTGCGAATGACCGAGGGGCCTCGACGTCTGTCTCACCGTCCAGGAGCGACACTGACTCACGCTGCTATCTGGTGTTCACGAGGTGCTTGTCGCGCTGGAAACGGAGCCTCTCTGTAAGTTTGTATCCCTGGTGATGTTTGTGCCTGGAGAGCAATATATAAGTGGTGCTCTTCAGGCACAATCTTCCTCAGCCTACTCAAGCTCAACTGATGAGGGGTGAATTCCCCGAAACACTGTGTATTGAGCAGGGAGTGGTGCTTTCTTGCAGGTTTGCCGAGTCGAAGGTTCGACGCACTTCTCGTGTGCTCAGGATGGCAGTCGTGAGTCAGTCAAGTGTCAAGTAAAGTCGGCGGAATAGCGCGAGCTCCGGTGTGGGGAGCAAACCCTTTCTTACAAGTCATCGCCGAAGTCGCAACCACTACTTCGTACTGTTGTGCCCAGCGCGGGCTTGCGACTAGTTGGTTTGGAGGTGACAGCGTTGCGAATGACCAAGGATCCTCGACGTCTGTCTCACCGTCCGTGAGCGACACTGACTCACGCTGCTATCTGGTGTTCACGAGGTGCTTGTCGCGCTGGAAACGGAGCCTCTCTGTAAGTTTGTATCCCTGGTGATGTTTGTGCCTGGAGAGCAATATATAAGTGGTGCTCTTCAGGCACAATCTTCCTCAGCCTACTCAAGGTCAACTGATGAGGGGTGAATTCCCCGAAACACTGTGTATTGAGCAGGGAGTGGTGCTTTCTTGCAGGTTTGCCGAGTCGAAGGTTCGACGCACTTCTCGTGTGCTCAGGATGGCAGTCGTGAGTCAGTCAAGTGTCAAGTAAAGTCGGCGGAATAGCGCGAGCTAAGGTTTGGGGAGCAAACCCTTTCTTACAAGTCATCGCTGAAGTCGCAACCACTACTTCGTGCTGTTGTGCCCAGCGCGGGCTTGCGACTAGTTGGTTTGGAGGTGACAGCGTTGCGAATGACCGAGGGTCCTCGACGTCTGTCTCACCGTCCAGGAGCGACACTGACTCACGCTGCTATCTGGTGTTCACGAGGTGTTTGTCACGTTGGAAACGGAGCGTCTCTGTAAGTTTGTATCCCTGGTGATGTTTGTGCCTGGAGAGCACTATATAAGTGGTGCTCTTCAGGCATAATCTTCCTCGGCCGACTCAAGCTCAACTGATGAGGGGTGAATTCCCCGAAACACTGTGTATCGAGCAGGGTGTGGTGCATTCTTGCAGGTTTGCCGAGTCGAAGGTTCGATGCACTTTTCGTGTGCTCTGGATGGCAGTCGTGAGTCAGTCAAGTGTCAAGTAAAGTCGGCGGAATAGCGCGAGCTCCGGTGTGGGGAGCAAACCCTTTCTTACAAGTCATCGCCGAAGTCGCAACCACTATTTCGTACTGTTGTGCCCAGCGCGGGCTTGCGACTAGTTGGTTTGGAGGTGACAGCGTTGCGAATGACCGAGGGTCCTCGACGTCTGTCTCACCGTCCAGGAGCGACACTGACTCACGCTGCTATCTGGTGTTCACGAGGTGTTTGTCACGCTGGAAACGGAGCGTCTTTGTAAGTTTGTATCCCTGGTGATGTTTGTGCCTGGAGAGCACTATACAAGTGGTGCTCTTCAGGCACAATCTTCCTCGGCCGACTCAAGCTCAACTCATGAGGGGTGAATTCCCCGAAACACTGTGTATTGAGCAGGGAGTGGTGCTTTCTTGCAGGTTTGCCGAGTCGAAGGTTCGATGCACTTCTCGTGTGCTCTGGATGGCAGTCGTGAGTCACACAAGTGTCAAGTAAAGTCGGCGGAATAGCGCGAGCTCCGGTGTGGGGAGCAAACCCTTTCTTACAAGTCATCGCCGAAGTCGCAACCACTACTTCGTACTGTTGTGCCCAACGCGGGCTTGCGACTAGTTGGTTTGGAGGTGACAGCGTTGCGAATGACCGAGGGTCCTCGACGTCTGTCTCACCGTCCAGGAGCGACACTGACTCACGCTGCTATCTGGTGTTCACGAGGTGCTTGTCGCGCTGGAAACGGAGCCTCTCTGTAAGTTTGTATCCCTGGTGATGTTTGTGCCTGGAGAGCAATATATAAGTGGTGCTCTTCAGGCACAATCTTCCTCAGCCTACTCAAGCTCAACTGATGAGGGGTGAATTCCCCGAAACACTGTGTATTGAGCAGGGAGTGGTGCTTTCTTGCAGGTTTGCCGAGTCGAAGGTTCGACGCACTTCTCGTGTGCTCAGGATGGCAGTCGTGAGTCAGTCAAGTGTCAAGTAAAGTCGGCGGAATAGCGCGAGCTCCGGTGTGGGGAGCAAACCCTTTCTTACAAGTCATCGCCGAAGTCGCAACCACTACTTCGTACTGTTGTGCCCAGCGCGGGCTTGCGACTAGTTGGTTTGGAGGTGACAGCGTTGCGAATGACCGAGGGTCCTCGACGTCTGTCTCACCGTCCAGGAGCGACACTGACTCACGCTGCTATCTGGTGTTCACGAGGTGTTTGTCACGCTGGAAACGGAGCGTCTCTGTAAGTTTGTATCCCTGGTGATGTTTGTGCCTGGAGAGCACTGTATAAGTGGTGCTCTTCAGGCACAATCTTCATCGGCCGACTCAAGCTCAACTGATGAGGGGTGAATTCCCCGAAAC